ACTCACCGTCAGCGCGATCCCGGAGATGGGCGCTTGGAGGGAGCGACTGTTGTTACGATTATTAATTATGACGATTAACTATTATTATTAGAGTTAATTTTCCTCGTTGGAAGCCCCGCCTCCCCCCCCTCCCCCAACCCCCCACATACACGCACCCGTGGGCAAACTGGGAAGGGGAAGGCAGAGAGGTTCTGAAGTTTTGGAGGTCCCTTCTGAGTGAGATAATAAAGGGGGGGGGAACCAAAGTGCTCCAAGGGGAAGGAAAAAAAGGAAAAGGGGTCAGAAGCATTAAGGAAATAAAGTAAGAAAGGGGAGAAATGGGGGGGAGGGGAAAAAAAATGGGGGGGGAGGGAAGGTGCGCTCTCAGCCTTACTGGAGGGGGTCCAGCTGTTAAAAATAGCCCAAACGCGCTGGAAATTAAATAAGGGCACCGGGGTGAACGGAGAGCCGGGGGGAGGAGCTGTGGGGCGGGGAGCGATAGGGCCGGGGCTGTGGGGCCGGAGCTGTGTGTGGGGCGGGGCTGCTGGAGGACCCCCCCAATAGGGCCGGTTGGAGGTGGATGGAGGAACCCCGCGGCTCCTTGGGGGGTGCTGTCCCCATTTGGGGCTGCTCTGATCCCTTTGGGGATTTGGGAACGTGAAGAAGTGAGAAATGAGGTTTTTCTCTCCAGCCCATCTCAGAGCATGGGGAAGATCCCCCCCCCCAGTAAAAACCCCATCACCCCCAATGAGCCCAACCAAAAAGGGAAGGGGCCTTTGTTTGCCCTCCGGGCTTTGTTCCCTACTGCCCAGCCCCACGTGGAGCCTCCTAGAGTGAGTTTTCATTCATTTAAACCTCTTTTTCCCCTCCCACCCTCCCAGGGCAGCTTTATCCCCCAGCGTTGTGCAGTGATGTCCTGCAGCCCCATTCCAGGGATGAATTCCTAAAGTTACACTTTGGTGCCAACACTGATGCTGAACTTCCCAAATCGGCACGTGGTGCAGATGGCTGTCCATTTGGGGAGGGGGGACTCAATGCCCCTTTATCCCACACCGCCCCATCCCGGTGCTGAGCTGTGTTTGGGATTTGGGTGCCCGATTCCCACTCGTTTCCCTGGGAAAGGGGAAACCGGATCCTCCAGGGTTGCTCAGGAAAACAAATCCCAGCCCACGCCGTTGGGGAACTGGAAGGTGACAGAACCAGTTCACCCAGGGTGTGTTCATCACCCTGCGAGCCCTCTTAATTAATTAATCCTCCTGGTCCCGGGTCTTGCCAGACTTGTGACCCCATTGCATGGAGATGTGTGGGTCCAAGAGTAGCTGGTGCTGTGAAAAACCCCCTGCCATCACCCCTGAGCTGATGTGCCAGCATTTATGGCCACCTGCAGGCAGTAATCAGCTCCTGGGAGGGGATGGGCTGAGCTTTGGGGTGAAGGTATGGGTGTGCTGGGGGATGTGCAGCAGTGTGTGTGCCATGCCTGGGCTGCCACCACGTCCCTGTGTGCCGTGAATGGATGGCACCCATGGGGGCACATCCCCACCTGGCACCCATAGGGATGCATCCCCACCTGGCACTGCTGTTTGGCTGCAGCAGCCTCAGATCTGGCTGGGTGCTGCTCTGGATCCCAGTGGGTGTCTGTCCTGCTGTCCCCATCCCCTAGGATGCTGAGGACACGTTCTGATTGAGGAGGGCAGCAGGCAGGCTGCTTTGGCTCCGTGGCTCAGCCACCCACAGGACCCCACGGTGGACCCATCTTGGGGGGTTTGGCACCCTGCTGGCTGCTCTGCATCCCTCGGTGCTCCGGGGAGGGGAGGGGGGGGCACTCATTTGGGCCCCTGCCAGGGGCTGTGGGCCATGCTGGGGCCGCTCCATGGCTTGGTGCAGCCTCACAGTGCACAATGGCCTTTTGTCCGGGAACATCCCGCCATCCCAGCTTCCCAGTAACATGAAACCTCCTCGGAGCTGCAGAGCACAAAGCCCCTTGCTGCTGTCCCCGTCCCTTCCCATCTCCCCTCCCTGCGCTTTGGCACACATGCACTGAGCGTGCCAGGGCTCAGCTGCATGGCAAGCAGGGGCCACGTGAGCCACAATCCCACCTCGCATGGCTCCTGCCACGAAGGGGTGGCACAGACCAGCAGCCCTGTGCCAGTTGTGCCCATGGGAGCATCCTCACAAGGATACTTCCAACCCCTGACCCTGCGGTTCCATGCCTCCTGCAGACCAGGAGCTCCTCAGCACTGCTCCCTAGCAGCACCTGAGAGCAGAAAATACCTCTGTCCCCCTTCATCCTCCCCCCCCCATTCCACACACACACACAGCCCCCGTGGCCCCAGGGCTGAAAACCAACAGTGAAAAGGGTTGAGAGGAAATGCTGTAAATGGTTAACAGGGAACGCAGAGGAGGAGAATGTGAAGGGTCGTTATTGGAGGACTCACTGCCTGGTCCTTATCTAAGTCTGCCTGCCTTATCTTTTTTTTAATTGAGGTGTTTGATTGCAAGTGGCACATCCAAAGCTAACAGGGACACAGAGGAACCTGGGGTCGGGGGCAACGTGGGAGGGGCCACGTGGGGTACCTTGAACTGCCCCCCAGGACACCCATCTTTGTGGGCACTGCCAGGGGGTTGGGGATGGGACACCCAGCATAGGGCAGGGGTGTGTGTGGAACAGCCCATGGTCACAGAATGGCCCGGGTTGGAAGGGACCTCAAGGATCACGAAGCTCCAACCCCTCTGCCACATGCAGGGCCACCAACCTCCACATTTAATACCAGCTCAGGCTGCCCAACAACCCTCCAGGGATGGACGGGGCATCCACAGCCTCTCTGGGCAGCTGTTCCAGCACCTCACCACTCTCATAGCAAAGAACTTCCCCCTGACATCCAAGTGAAATCTTCCCTCCCTCAACTTCAAACCATTTCCCCTTGTCCTGCTGTTATCTCTTCTTTCAAAGAGTTGATTCCCCTCCTGTTTGCAGGCTCCCTTTAGGTACTGAAGGCTGCAATGACCTCACCTGCAGCCTTCTTTTCTCCAGGCTGAACAAGCCCGGCTCCCTCAGCCTGTCTTTGTAGGGAGGTGCTGCAACCCCTGATCATCTCTGTGGCTCCTCTGGACCCTCTCCAACAGCTCCCTGTCTTTTTTGTACTGGGGGCTCCAGACCTGGACACAGCACTGCAGATGGGGCCTCACAAGAGCAGAGCAGAGAGGGACAATCACCTCCCTGTCCCTGCTGGCCACCCCTCTTCTGATGGAGCCCAGGATCCCATTTGCTTTCTGAGCTGTGATCACACACTGCTGGCTCATGTTCAGCTTTTCCTCCATCGGGACCCCCAGTTCCTTCTCTGCAGGGCTGCTCTCAAGGACTGCTCCTTCCAGTCTGTATAAATGCCAGGGATTCCTCTGGTCACCTCTGTGTCCCCAGGAAGGGGCATCTCCAGTGCTGTCCCCATCACATGGATGGGTTGCTGTGACAAAGGGACACTCCGTGCATCCCACTCCTTGTCGGGGCTCCAAGCAAACCCCCTTCCCGGCCAAACTCTTCCATGCTTTTCCTTTTACTCTCAGTGCTGGTTGAAAAAGAGACCGGTGGGATTTTCTTCCCTTTCTGCTGTGACTCAGGTGCTGCTCACACCTGACTCATGGGGGGAGCGCAGAGGTGGGGGTGCAGGAGGAGAAAGAAGTGGTGGGGCTGGGGGCGGTGGGGCTGGGGGCAGAGCCAAGCTGGCAGGGCGGGGGGTTGGTGGTCAGAGCTGTTCCACTCTCCGATGCTGCACCTCGTGTCCTGGCCGGGCTTAATTAACGCATTTGGAGGAAGGTGGGTGGTAGTGGGCTCGGGACCGGAGTCGACGGTTCCCTGCTGCCATCTAACGGGGGCAGCCGTGCCGGCAGCCGCTCTACGGGCTGCGGGAGGGGCTTCCCCGGGACCCCGTTAAGTTGGAGGGGCGAGGGAAGCTGTAGGGAAGGGTGCTTGCTGCTCTCAGTATTGGGATACCCGAGGGCCGTATCCTTTCCCCAGCTGTGTGTTGTGGGCTGATGGCACCGTGGGGCTGCGGGAGCAGCGGGTCAGCCCAACTGGGAGCTGCGCAGGTGCTGCCTTTAAAAACAGGGTGGGCAGGAGGTAGTTCTGCCCTACAGGGCTCTGCAGCAGTCCCTTCCTCGCAGCCCATCCATGGAGGGAGTCCCAGTGTTCCTGGGGTGAGAGGGAAGTGGGGTGATGCTGGATCGGGAGGGACCCCCTGCCGTGGGGCTTCCCTTGGCTTTGTGCTCTGTCCTGTTGGCCCCAGTTCATCCCCCAGGCAGAGGGAGACAGCTATGGTGCAATGCATGGGGCTGAGCCATGTAGGCTGTTTGATCACCATCTACACCCCCAAAGAGCTATGGGGGCAGCGTCTGTCCCCAGCGGGTGACACCCAGGGACGTGTAGGGACCCAGCCCTATGGTGTGGCTCAGCCATCCCATGGGGATGTGACGCTGTGCCCAGTCGGGGGATTAGGGACGGCTGTCAGCTGTATCGCTGCCCGTTCCCAGCTCCGGTTACGTGGGGTTGGGATGTGGCGCCTGGCGGTGCTGGAGCCGGGGGGGTCAGCTTTCAAAGAGCACAGAAATGTGAGCAGGTGGGGGATGTGAAGGGAAGGAGTGCGCAGTGAGGGGTTGGGGGGATCTGAGAGGCTGGAAGCTGCGGTGGGGCTGAGCATCACAGCCTTCTGTGCCCCCAACCCCAGCAGGGGAAGAGGCCCTGAGGGACTGGGGGGGTCCCATGCTGTGCAGCCACCTCTATTGCTTTGTTGTGGGGTGGGAAATGCGCTCTCCTCCCCCCATCCATCACCCGAACGCTCGGTGGGGGTGTGCAGGGCCGGCAGCTGCCTTCCCCTACCGGCTCAAGGTGAGGAGGGGTTGATTAATTGCTCTCTTAGCAACTGCTAATCAGCGGGGGGCGGAGCTGAACGATGTGCGAGAGTTCCCCAACATTCGGGGCAAAGCGGCATCACGACGGTGCGAGCTGGGGGCGAGTGGGGAGGAGCCCAAAACATCGCAGCCCTGTGCGGCGTTTAAAGGAAAGCAC